TGCAGTTGCCATTCGTTCTACTAAACCATTAGTCAAACGCCATCATGTCTTCTGTCGTTATTACACAAACAAAAATCTCTTTACTGTTACTAGTGTTAGTGCCTCAATATGGCTACGCTCGTGAAAGCAATACAACGAACTCAAACGCGTCTTCGTTCAATGTTGTCAACTAATGTCCGGATTAATTTTATGCAAATTTTCCTCAATTCTCCGGAGAAATTTTCATAAAAATTTGAAAAACCCGGAAGACTTTCATCTCTGAAACTCCACACAGGAAGGCCGGAACCGGATTCGAACCCACAACCTATGCACTGTGAGGTTGACGTGCTAACCACTCGTCTGCCGGGCCGCTGAATAAAAAAATGCTTTAAACATAAATGAAATAGGTAATATGCACACACTGCATATAGGTGCCAATGTAAACTTAAATGAAAAAAAAAGGCAAAAGAAATTTGTATATGATTTCACAGTACACTGGGCTTGATTCAAATCTTAAATGTTCAATATGAAGAAACATAGTGAATGATATCAATTCGCTGCTCAGCGGTGTCCACAGCTTGTCTCTGCCAATCAGAGTGATTGTTACCAATACCACTTTGTGTACTGAGATTGGTGGCTTATTCATTCAAATCAGATGGAAAAAGCTCCATGACACAAAAATCTATTCATTCTCCATAATTCTTAACATTGCTTTGTTTGTTCCCATTTTCATCGTGAATAAGTTGAGCAAGATTCTGGACGTGTATGCATTCCACTTTATAAAACCATGACTGAAGACCAAACAACAAATTTAATTTTTCACTCTGATACTGTAAATAACAAAACTATTGTTAAATTGCCTATATTGCGGTGCTTTGTCCTAAAATGCATGTTACGTTATTGTACTTGGAATGGCAACGAATGTTGCCATTCCAAATAATTGACTCGGTTACCTCTTTACTCAAAGATGATGCCAATAGTAATGCCATCATTCATATATCTGATTTACATTCACAATGCTCGCAGGTGTGCTGGAGCCGATGCCACCTGTCTTCGGGCAGTAGGAGCGTTACGCCCTGTATTGGTTTCCAATCAACCACAGAGCACCAGACAAATTCAAAATCACACCGAGGGATAATTTAGATCTTCCATGCATGTTTATGGAATGGGGGAGGAAACCAGAGTACCTGCAGAAAACCTATGTGGGCATGGGAGAACAAAAAAATGCCGTACAGCAAGGCTATTGACTAAAACAGCAATTTATTTTGAAGTCAAATATCACTGATCACATGGTTGTTACTAAGTTTATTTTGAACAATAGCCAGAACAGGTTGGTCAATATTTCTAAGGTCAATAAACATTCTTAGTCTTTCTGAAAGAATCAAGTAAAATTGGTGGTTTGCAAAAGAGCTAAATCGGTCACTAGGTCAGTACATTATGGGATATAAAAGAGACTTTCCATCTCAATGATGTCACTCCATTGTGATTTACTTTCAGGTCACTGAGCATTTTGGTAGAGGGCTTTTTTTCATGGTGCATCAAGAGTATTTTCTGAGGGTATGAACGCAGTGGTGCACTGTACCTTTGTACGATTGGTACTAAACACTAAACAAATGACTCCCTTTGCAGAACTAATACATCACTTTCACTTCCGTCCTTCAAAATTCAAGTGGTTATATGTTTATTGGATGCTGTATATTCCATACTCAACACACACAGGCAGAGAAAGAAGATAGAAAGACTAACCAGTTGTCCTCGATTGTTTTTGTTCTACTGGGTGTCCTAATGGTGTACATTTTCATACGGGAATCATTTTAACAGGGTTTGCACTAGCACACAGGGATTTTTTGATGCATTTCGGTCTTTTGTCCACATGTTGAGGCTGAAAAAAAAGCGCTTTTGGAAAACATTGACCAATACAGCCCTTTGATTTTTGTAAATTTGTATACACATAATGGTAAAGCATAGCACATGTGGTTGCACATACTGTATTAGACTCTAAACTTATGTGTGTTTTTAGATATCTCATAATTAGGTTATTTTGTCTTTGATGCTTCTTGTTGAATACATGATGGTATACCACAAATAACACCGCAATTGTATTTGTCAGATGAGATTCATGTGACATAATGGTATAAGCCAATTTTATTGTTAAGAAACTTTTAACTTGCTATAATTTATGCCTTGACATCTTGGGCCCCATTTTCATTCCCAGCGCAAGTCTGGCAAAAAAAACGCAATCTTAACTGCATATTGGTGTAGTTTTCTATCTTTTGGTATTTTGATAGACTTTGCGCAGGTAGAATTGGGCGTAACGGGTGTTGGTGCCTCGATGCGCCATTGTGGAATCGAACATATACTTTTCCGGCCAGTCCTTGCAGCATCCCTCATTTGCATCCAAATCAGGGAGGTCCGAGCACAGTACGTCCGAATATGCCATGCTTGACATAAAGGAAACAGAAATAGAGTTGCTAGGATCTGTGCATAACGTTGGTAGTGAAACTGCAAGATCTTCCCTTGCGGATGATGTAGTCTTGGCCATGTATGAGACATGGGCAATTGGGAACTGCCTAGCAACCCTGATCATGTGTGTTTGTGTATGACCCCCCCCCCACCCCCAAATAGTAACAGGGGTGCTATTAAAATATTTTCAAGATGATAACGATTATTCATTTCTTAAATTAATCGATTTCTACAGTAATTGAAGGGGTCGTCCAATACTGTGTCATATTTACGAATGGAATCTGGTAACGCTTACCACATACGTCAAAATTTGTTGGCCTGTGCCTTGATCAAATGCACCAAAATCGTGTTACACTAATTTATATGGCTTCAAATGGCTCTCTCGGGGCAACAATGATAATATACAGTACACCACAATGCAAAATGAGGATGAGGCAACTGTATTAAATGATCTTTTATCTGAATAAGTAAGGAAAACACTGTATACGGAGTATAAATGCATGTAGCATGGTAACAGCACAAGTGGCATTTCTTTTGGGATCGTGGTAAAATCATGGAATTGCTTGCTGTACGTATGGCACTCCAGCCCAAATAGACATGTTAAGATAACATATTTGAGTGTTGAAAGATTCATTGCTCTCAGTTAAAAAAAAACAATTACAGACTTGAGGTACATTTTTTGGTGAAAAAGTCTGTGCTATCTATATACGGTGTCTGCCTTTGGTTGAGGAACTACAAATATTGTGATATGCTACTTAATGGAGATTTCAGCATTTTTTTCGACATCCAATCTGAATAAAATCAGCAGATGTGATACAAAACTCCAGGTTAATTCATGCATATGCGCTGCATGGAGAGCCTCACTACCCGTAGCTAGATTTCAGAAGAGGATGATGTCATGTGTGGAAAAGATGGAATCTTTCAAACAACGTGATTACTGAGTAGCAGCAGCGACAGCACCGCGCGAGCACACAGCATCCACATACAAAACGAGACACTTTGCATGCTCCAAACGTCGAATTCATTTTGACTAAAAACTGTAGATGATACGCATTTTGCGGGCATGCATAATAGGCTAACGCTGCGTGGGTGACAAATGAAAGCAAAGTGAAAATGAGTGTCAAACGATAACTGCGCAGCGTTGCTAGAAGAGTAAATGCATAATACCGTATTTCCACGCACATCAATCGTGACTGGATATCAACATCATTTAACGAATTCAATGCTTCGTATCTTACCACATCAGTTCGTAGACCCACTCTGAGTGTATCCATTTTTTTTTTTATACGAGGGATCGACAAAGTCACGCATCAGCGCAAATGCAAAATACACCTTTTTGCTTACACGTTTTGTTGTTCGCCCTCGCTCCCTTCACAAGGCTCGGCCTGTCTTAGCGTGGATGGCTGCGCATCCTCGCTGCACCATCCGCATCTATCTTGCCGCAACCGCAACCCAGTCCGTCTCCTTCCCCCGAACACACCCCTCCCCTCCCTTTCTCCGGTCGGTACTCCAGCTCTCTGCTGCGGCGAAGGGTTGCCTTTAGCCATACGTTGATCCGGGCATGTGGACGCCGATTCCATCGTCCGTTGTGTTTCACTTTAAATTTCCACCCCGGAAATAACAAATTGTATTCATTGACTTTGTCGAGGAATTAGTGTCGATAAAATAATTCAACTCTATACTTTGGGGTGAATGGTGTTTGTGTATATATATGTGTGTGTGTGTGTGTGTGTGTGTGTGTGTGTGTGTGTGTTCTTATCGTACCCCTGGACGATTTTTTACATTTTTTTGTTTTTTCAAATATACATTCAACAATGTGGTGTACACTTTGAGGGTCACATGGAGAACAGCTAGTTATGTATAAAACAGCATACAGCAGTGGTTCCGAAAGTGTAGTATGGTGCGTGCTCCCTCTAGTGCAGGGCTGTCAAACTAATATTTTTTTCGCGTGCCATATTTCCTGTTTTCTATGAGGACCCTTATGACGATGAAAAACCATATAAATGTATATCGGAAAATATGTCGCAGCGCACTACTTAGCAAAATGATTCACAAAAAGTGCAAACACAGGTTAATTATGTACCTTCTCATCTAGTGGAAGGGCATTCTATTCTGCCTGTTACTATAGGTGGTTGCCAGGATAAATTAACAAATGTTTGTAAATAGAAAATAAATAGTTTTTGCCCGCATTACTGTCGGACAAAAACGGGCTATGACAACACAGTCTAGGACAGCCTTCCTCAACTGGCGGACCGCGATCCACGACCGGACCGCC